ATTTCATTCTTTTTATTGTTTTGTCCTGTATTATCTGGGTAAACCCAAACAGTGAAATCCTATTGGTTCAAAATCCTACAATTAAATATGTCTTCTGATCGGCTGTGATGTTGAACTGAAAAATGACTTGTCGCAGGTAACTTGTTGTGTCTGGTTAGGACATGCCTTAACAGTCACTAGTTTATTTGTTGTGTCAGGATGTGGAGAGTAAATGAGATCTGCCTACCGTCACCAGCTGTAAGGATGCTGTCCATGCTCTGGGGGGAGGCAGTGAGCTGAGGATAACCAGGCTCTGCTCCATCAAGAGAACTGCCTCTGAAAACACAGCCATTCAAGTTACTAAACCAAACCATCAGAACATTATGACAACGTATTGTATCATTAGAGGTTTTGTGCACTTACGAGACAACTGTATTAGTTGAAACGATGTATTCTACTTCTTTGGTCCAAGGGTTCATGAAACTGAACCAGCGACTTCTCAAAGTTATAACAGAGCCATCTTTAATCTTGAACTTGTAACAGTTAGTGTTGATCTTCTCTCTCATCTGCAGCACTGCAAACAGAGACATACCGATTGTGAGGTCAGCCACAGAAATCTGGCCATGCATGCTACACTTTATGGAGAGCATTGCTCTAATGTTACCTTGTCTGTGGCATTCAGCAAGATGTCCGATGTCATCCTGATGGAAATACTCATAGAATGACGTGCCCAGCAGCTCTTGAGGTGGATAAGCAAGAATGGCCGTGGCTCTAAAATGAAGAGGCATATACATACAGTATAGGGAAGTAACTAGTTACATGTAACGACTTCATATAATTTAAATAATTACAAACTAAATAGAACTGTAATCCATTGCAGTTACTGAAAAAAAAAAGTAATTAAATTACAGCTACAGCAAGATCACATTACAGTAAGATCTGCCTCTACTGAGTGCAACAGTTCTCAACCGATGGATAGAAAGTCCCCGTCCTACATGCATTCTTTTTGGATAAGCAAAAACAGTATGTTTAAATGGGTCATATGATGCAACTTCAAGTTTTTCTTTGTCTTTGGAGAGTTACAAGCTGTTTGTGCATATATAACATCCGTAAAGTTGCAAAGACTAAAGCCTTAAACCCAAAGAGATATTCTTTATAAAAGTTAAGGCTCATCCATGCCTTCCTAAAACGCCTCATTTAAACCATTAAGCCAAGCAGTGCCTTTGTCACAGAGTATTTTTAGGTGCATTGTGCGCCCTATATTCCCACCTCTAGCCAGGCCGTGACCTTATGTCAATCTGCACCATTTATCCAAGGCAATATTTGGATAATGACCTGCATTGTGCTCACGAAACCAAATAAGCTGTCACGCTAACATGAAGATTGGTCATAAGGTCAGCATGGATACCAAGCATTTGATCCCAAATCAGTTTTTCCATCAGTAGACAAAACAAACATATCCCAACCTATTATCAATTTTACTCAACATGTTTGCTTACAATTACACTAATGTAATTTTGAGTCTGGAAAATTATATCATATTATACAAGCACGTCGCATGTTATAGTGCACTGGTATTGTTTAAGGTTTTTTAAAGGGTTAGTTCACCCAAAAATGAAAATTAGCCCATGAATTACTCCCCCTCAAGGCATCCTAGGTGTATATGACTTTCTTCTTTCAGACGAATCCAGTCGGAGTTTCAATATTAAAAATTGTCTTTGATCTTCCAAGCTGTTTAATGGCAGTCAGCAGGTGTTGGCAGTTCATCAGTCCAAAAAAAGTGAAATAAAGCGCATCCATCCATAATAAAAAGTGCCTCAAACGACTCCGGGGGGTGAACACAGGCCTCCTGTAGCGAACTGATGCATTTTTGTAAGAAAAATAACCATATTTAAAACATAATAATCAATTTAATCTTGTGTTGTACACGGAAGCAGCTCCGGGTGGATGGTGTTGGATGTCGGCGTTGCGCATGCGCCGCTCAGAAGTGACGAACGCGGAAGTGCAGGGGAGAGATCAAAACAAAACAACGGTCACTAATTAGAAGTACAAAACGAGGATTTGTAAAGAAGAATGGATTTCAATACAAGCCAAGAGGAGACTGGTTTTCTTTTGCTAAAGTAAGGAAACTTTGCTTCCTTTGCTCCTGTAAACAAGCGTTGGTTTTCACGAGACTCACCGGCGCATGCGCAACGCTGAACTCATACGTCATCCTCCCGGAGCTGCTTCCGTGTACAACTGTTTGCGCAAGCCAGATTAAAGTAATTTTTGTGTTTTGAATATGGATATTTTTCTTACAAAAAGGCATCGATTCGCTACAGGAGGCCTGTGTTCACCCCCCGGAGCCGTGTGAGGCACTTTTTTATTACGGATGGATGCGCTTTATTTCACTTCTTTTGGACTGATGAACTGCAACACCCGCTGACTGCCATTAAACAGCTTGGAAGATAAAAGACCATTTTTAATAGAACTCCGATTGGATTCATCTGAAAGAAGGAAGTCATATACGCCTAGGATGGCTTGAGGGTGAGTAAATAATGGCCTAATTTTCATTTTTGGGTGAACTATCCCTTTAAGCAAGTTAAGGTGTGGTCACATTTTTTTTCCGTTACCATTCTTGCCGGCTAGCAAATGAATCAACCGTAAATAACTGCTCTCCAAACCACCTCTTAATGGAAAATGTTATCATTTGAATGTGTGGCGAGTAAACACTCTCAAAATGAATGCCTCATCCACTGCGGATCTTTAGTTTTGCTTGTTAAATTATGAATCTGACCAAACTTGAACTTCATTGTGTTGATTCCCACTGACATTGCCTGGATTTTGCTCGAGAAATTGTAAATGTGACCGCACCTTCAAACTGCAACTGCATTTCAGGGCACCCAGTGGTCACTACTTACCTTTGGTCCACAAAGACAAACTTCCCATCAATGGCATGGCGCGAGACATACTCTGTGGGCTTCACCCGGATGTCTCCGTTCATGGGTTGTGGCACAATCTGAGGATGTAATCGGCCAATGGCCACTAAGCAGCTGAGATTACAGCCTTCATTATCAGGCTCATTGTCTTCATCTAAGCCCATCTTTGTGGGCGGCCAGCTCTTTAGATAGCCAGTGCTGTGGATGGTGCAGAAGCTCTTGCGATCAGCTGCAGAGAGCAATAGAAAGCAATAGTTATGACGATAAAACTTTTTTAATATTTTACAATACGCAAAGTCAACAAAATAACTGATTTACCTTTCTTTTTGGAGCAAGTTGAGGGAAAATCTTTGTCCTCCATTTTGACAAGGGGCCTGTTGCACTTCATTCTGCAGAAGAAGGAGCGGCGGGCCCCCGAGCACAGTCTGGAGGGACAAGGGGCGATGTCTGTCCTGACTGGCAGCCCAGCTGAGAAAATAACAACGCATTGTCAGATAAGCTCAAAAAATGATAAAATGTATGTGATTAAAGGCTGGTATACACTACTTTTTTCCCCAAGATTTTTGTCCCAATGTGCAGTCTGGACTAGTCGATATTAATTGCTGAAAGTCAGAGTCAGTCTGCAGATTTTAGACAGTCGGAGTTGAAAGATTTCACATAAAATTGTGTAGTGTATGATGGGCACAGACTCTGATTCTCTCCAGTCAGAGGATATCAAACATATTTGATATTTTGAGCTGATTTTAGAGCACAAGCTGTTTTTCTTTGTCATGTTTCTCCATTCAACATGGTGCATGTTTCTGTGCGAGTTTGTTGTGTTTGGAATGACTTGTAAATCTGGTAGAGATCCTCAGTCGTTTACTTTATGATGCCCAGTTTTTCCCCTGTAACCATTTACAAAGTTGGAAATTTGTATAATGCCAAAAAAGGACAATACTAAATGTTACAATCTCAAAAGTCGTGAAGCGTATTTCAGCCTTTTAAGGTTTGTCTGCATAATGGTGTATTTTTTAGCAGGTGCTATCTTACTTTTAGCATCGATGAGTCTTTCGCGTGGGGCTGTGTCAGATGACGAGAGCTGCTCTTTGACTTTTGCAATGTCTTTAGGATGCAAATAATCAAACAAACTCTGGCCAATCAGGTCATTCTGTAAGATGGAGCGAGCAGGCAATATAGTGAGTCATGATATGATTCGCATACGCTGAGCGGTGAATCATGGTAGCATTAGAAGGCCTTACCTGACAGTAATTTAAAATTTTGTAGACAGACTCTGACACAAAAAGGATCTTTCCCCGATCACAGCCCACAACGAAGAGAAAACCGTCAGCAGCCTGAGATGCAGAGTGAATCACCAGTGAGTCACAGCCAGGGTTTGTAACTCAGCATAGCACAAAATGACTTTTCTTTAGCTCACCTACCCTTAATATTAAGTGCTTCAGCTCATCGTCTGATAAAAAGGCTGGCTTGTAGTTAGCTTCAGTGTAAGGGTTTGCAGCACCTAAAAAGACAGTAATATAATATAAACATATATACATCAAATAAAAAATAAGCATATGTACAAGTATTTTTGTTTTGAGTATTTGTACACCAACTAGTCAAATAGTCAAAACATAATTTGAAGTACATGAATTAACTGTGTCATGGTGACAGGAAAAAAAATGATGGGAGGAAAAATTATATTATATGCTTTTGCGTTAATTCACAAAATGTTTGCGTTCCCCCGAGAAACTTATTTTGCGTTCACGAGGAACTTTGCATTCGCTTACAAAAGTATTGAAATATAGTTAATAATATTTCCACTCTATTCATATGATTTCCATCACTAGTTTTACACTTGCTCAAAATTTTTTTTAAATAAATGGGAGGGAAACTTTTTTTACCATCGCCATGGCCCCTTAAAAGAATGACCAACCAATACTGATTATTTTTGTAAATTATATTATGGCTTTTTTTTTGTTTGTTTGTTTTATTAAACTGATATTTGTTTTATGTACTTTTGCACAATGGAACTACATATTCACTGGACTACAGTACCTCAATAAAACCATAATATTCATTAAGAATAATATCAGATATAATAATGTACATCATAAAATAATTTTAGATTGCAAAACAACTTTACATAAATATAATAATCTATTCAAAATATTAATTTATATGCTTATTTAAGCTTTTCAAAAGGAAAGCACAGATTCATCAATTAGTCTGTTTAGATTACAACCAATTATTGGTAATACAATGTTTGTGAATAAAATATTAATGCAATGTAAATGTCATATTTTAGGTCATTTTTATGTATAATAGTACTCAACTATAAAATCACTTGAAATACAAAATGAAGTATAAAGATTACATTTAAAAAGCCAGCTGAATCTCACCTCGAAGTGTTTTCATATGCTGGACCGCCATGCGCAGCACCGTGAGTTTGTCCAGCTTGCGGGACATGGCATTGCAGGTAGGCAATAATGAAGCCAGCTCATCAATAAAGCTGTTCATCTTGTCTCTGCGTCTCTTCTCTATCTGACTGTGAGCCTCCCTGTTGACAACCAAGAGTCCAAAACAATGTTACAACTGGAAGAAAAGGCATAGGATCTACAGTAGCATATGATCTATCCACTAATAATAATTAAAAAAATGCTCTGGATCACAGCACCTTGAATTCTTCATCTGCTGATCGACCCTGTTGAGAGAAAAATGAGTTTAACATCTGAGAAATAATAAATCATGTAGGCTAAGTATAAACACCAAAACCTACATAAACAGATCCAGTTACAGGAGGAATAATCGTATTATTAATCTCTGAAAATATGGGATTCAAAATCTAAGGTGAACAAGGTTGAAAGATTTTGAAAAACTTTAAACAAAGAAACATCAAAATGAATAGGAAATGTATAAAATTCTCCTTAAAGCAACGGGCCACAAACTGGATTTTTTTTAAAAGTCTGAAAAAATGCAAAAAATAAGCATTTTCAGTGGCCATTTATGCTGTATATTTATGATAGATAAAACAATTTACCTTCCAAGTTGTTTGTCCATGTCTATGTCCATACTGTCCCTTAAAAATGAACAGTAACAATACATTAGCTTTAATAGTTCACGAATCAACCTATATAAAGTCATTTGAATGGGAAGATATCTAAATAGTGAAAACTAAATATACTAAAATGTATTTGAAATACATTTATTTCATGCCAAGTATACTACAAATACATTTACATATTTATGTACTTAATAAAAATACCCTGCAATTGTTATTTTAGTATACTAATCTGGCATACTTAAAGTCTGCTAAATTGGAACAGCCAATTTTGTACTTACTGCACTTTAATTGTGCGGAAGTCCAACTAAAGATATACTGAAGGATATTTGGTTGTGCTAAAGTGGAACTATTGCAAGTCTACTTTTAGGTGCACTTTAAACATTTTGCATTTAAAGATCGAAATTATTCAGATCATACAATCCTCATCAATAGAGACATTAAAACACATTTTGGGCTTGATAATAAGAAATGTGCATTGTGCACAAGTAGTACTCCAAATAAAGTTGAATTATAATTTTTATATCGGTAAGTCTCAAGTGATATGTCAGTAAATATGTTAATAGAGTAGACTTGAAAATATGAAATAAATGTATTTTAAATACATTACTTTTTTACTAGGGTGATTTCCAAGTAAAAGGAAAAATAATTTCTCAAAACCAGATGAAAAATACTTATTTTTTCTCTTCCTTAACTTTCATTATAGTCCATGAATGTTTAGGTTAAGAGCACATCTGATTCATTTATCCTCATTACAGGATAAGGATCTCACAATATGGTACCAGTTACAAGTATACTATGACTTGATATGATGTAACTCCCATTTCACACACAATCAGCTCCAGCTTGCCCGTTTCATAATGGCTTGTTTCATAACCGACCAGAATAAAAGAAACTGTACACGTTGTTTACCTGAGGGCTTGACACTGATAACATCAACCACAGATTTTTTTCCTCCCTGTTGGTTAAATAACTGTTATGTGTTTTCTATTAGAGCAGACTTTTTAGTCACCTGAACCCCCTATGACCAAAAATATTTACTTGATGGATAATATAATGTGAACTTCACTTGTTCTTGTTTGCAAACAATTAAAATAACTAATTTGATACTTTTCGTTTTACAAACCCTTGCATTACAAGTTACTGTTAAAAATGCTACAAAGCTACATATAACACAATACCTGCTATTATCCACTATATTCAGACACTAAGAGTTATAAACTATTAAAAGGGGTGAATTCACCCAGAATGAACCGTGACTAAATTGTGCAGATCGTGTTTATTTGCACAAGCTGTTTGCATAGTTTTAGCGCCTGATTCACCAAAGTCTCTCCAGCAAATATTTGTGAACAATATTTGCTCTTGAAACACTTTGTGCTCCGTCTGTTTGCATGGAGCGAGAATATCATATTCAGACATCAAAGGTGCTAGATTACATTTGTGTTAAAACAAGAACAGACTGGACAGTTTGGATATTTTGCAAGACTTCATCCATACTCACTGACCATTCACTCTCAGTGGACTGTGTGAGCTGTGAGCTTGGGATGAGGAATCTCATCCATGAAGCCTCAGATCTAAGAGGATAAAATTGGTATTTTTCTCAAAAACAAGGGGTGAGTTCATATATTTCTTTTTTTTTAATCAGATGAATAATGTGCCTGTCCTCAAACAAAGACACACTTATAATTAGGTACAGTTGTGACAGTGCAGTTTAGTGATTTAGTGACGTTTCAGTGATGACAGCATGATAATAAGATGTTATACTGTTCATGCACCATGGTATACCATGGTTATAGATTTTTTGTAAAAGAAATGGAATTTTAGTTTTATTGAATATTCGTTTTGGAATACTGGGGTATTGTAAAGTGAAAGTAATTGAAATGTTTTGATACTTACTCAAAAGAACATCCATCAATTCTGTGAAAATAGAGATACTGACAAATTAAATTTCAGGTCATCTCATATTAAAGGGACAGACCACCCAAAAATTGTAATTCTCTCATAATTTACTCGCCTTCAAGTTTTTTCTTCTGTGGAATGTAAAAGAAGATATTTTGAAGAATGTGGGTAGCTAAACCGTTTCAGTTTCCATTGATTCAATTGCATTTTTAGTCCTTTTTATGGAAGTCAATGGGAACCGAAACTTTTTACTAGCATTCTTCAAAATGTCTTTATGTTCCACAGAAGAAACAAAGTCATACAGGCTTCATGAAGGTGAGCAAATGACAACCGAATGTAAATTTTTGGGTTAACTCACCTTTTAAAACTACAAAATATGCAAACTCATGGTAACATAGTAAATGTCTATGGTTTATAGCTGATCAGCAATAAACTTCTGTGACAGATAAGTACAAACGGGAAATGTGAGTGGAGAGAACGGTTTCCTCCCCATCCAAAGCATTCTGTAATTATTGTGTTTGTTTTGGAGTGATGTCAGAGTGATAAAAGAACACAGATGTTCTAACTTTCCAAAAAAAAAAACAAGCAAAATGATGCAAGTCTGCTCATATATTTTTGTACAATATACACTAGCATTTAACACTTTTACAGGAAGTCTCTTCTACTCACCAAAGCTGCATTTTATTGATCAAAAATACAATTTACAGTAAAATTGTAAAATGTTATTACAATTTAAAATAACTTTTTTTTTTAAAATATATATACAGTATATATATTTTTTTTATTTTTTTTTTATTTATTTTTTTTAAATGTCATTTATTTCTGTGATAGCAAAGCTGAATTTTCAGCAGCCATTACTTCAGCCTTCAGTGTCACATGATCCTTCAGAAATCACTCTAATATGAAGATTCGGTTTTTAAAAAAACATTTCTCATTATTATCAATGTTGATAAAACACTGCTTAATATTTTTGTGGAAAATACGCTTTTTTTTTTGTTAAAATTTGTAATTGAAATCTTGTGTAACACTATAAATGTCTTTACTGTCACATTTAATCAATTTAATGCATCATTGCTAAATAAAAGAATTAGTTTCTTTCAAAAAAAAAAAAGAAACCTTACGGACCACCCCAAACTTTTGAAAGGTAGTGTAATTCCAAACAAAGGGCCTTGAACCTCATCGTGAATTCTGCTTGAGGTCCAATATGAGCACACAAATGTGAAAGATGATGAACAGCGTTAGAGGATCTGTTAGGACTTGCTCTTACTGATAGTCGGTGATGCTGCCCTTCCTCTTGCGGGTGTAGTCCATGCCCGGCGTACCCATGGAGCTGCTGATCAGATCAGAGGAACTGGGAGACATGAACTCATTCATCGTGGAGGAGATGTCCATTCTTTGGTCTGCCATTAGACCATCTGCAAACCACAATTTAACCCCTTAGTTTATTGTATTCCGTTATGGTGAAAAAAAAAAAAAGTCAATTTCACAAACACTTAAAGTTCATGATAGTAAACATGTAAGTAAATACTGATTAATTAAAGAACCAATACAAATTATCCATAAAATTTGATTTTGATTATTTAAAAGAGCAAAAACTAAATATAAAGGTAATACTTCTCTGGTGCTCTTCGGTCACTTTTGACGTTTTTAATTTTTTTAAATCACAGCTTCATCGGAATGGTACAAAACTTGGTGACTTTTATGTCTTTTGGAATGTGAACACACACAAAAATTGAGGGCATGATTCGAGCAGGCTAAGTGGTCGTAAAAAAAATAGTCACACGTCTTGGTCTTCGGTCAAAAATAACTGACCATAGGAAATGAATGGGAAATCGACAAAAACACAAAAATTCAGAGAATTTTGCACAATGCAGATAAAAAGTACACAGCAATGACGGGGTGAAATTCTAAAACATCAAGAGTATAAAACCAACACATCCACTCACACACACGCACGTACACACACACTTATACACACACACACACCAATGGACTGGTGTGACTGTAACACAGCAAATATGTAAAATAAAAGCAATAATTAAACTGCAATGCAGTAAAAAAGTGGACAGCAAGGAAGGGGTTACACTTTAAAACATCAAGAGTGCAAAACAGGCACATCCAGTCACACACACACAAACACACACACACACATACACAATTATACACACTCAAATGAATTGGTATGGCTATACTCATATAGCCAAAACGAGTCAGAAAACTGAAATCAGATCAGACCCAGAAGAATTAAGCTCTGATAAAACATTCCTGTTCATTTTTGTTACATTTTTATAGAATTTTAATGTTTTGTGTAACAAAATGCTTTCTCTGTGTTCAGGTTTGACTGTAGTAATAATACAAAAACTGACGCTTCAAATCAACATTTAAAAAAAAAAAAAATCTAAACCTTTACAAAAAGTTGTCTTTGAGAATGTCTAAATATATATCTAAACCCAACTTAATAAAAATAAGTATTTATGTCTAAAAACAATTAAGAGAATTTATAGGCCTTTTATATAGAGCTATATAGGAATCTATGGGCTAAACCATGGAATTGCATATGTTTTTCTTATTTTACTCCCACCAGATGGTACTAATCAGGCTTCAAAAATTGGATTTTAAAGGCATTGACTCTATTTTAACATGAAATACTGCATTCATTGAAAAGTAATATAAAAATATATATTTACATTTTTTTTATTACTTTCAATGGGAAGAAATTGATCATAATTATTGCATAAATATTAATTAGTACCATGAAATTATCTCAAAATAAAAAAATGTAAAATATTATAGAACAAAAATATGTTACATTGATTTTACTGGGGGGAAAAGGTAAAATTTTAGGTGTCCAGTCACTTTTGATCGTGAAGATCACAAGTGTGACTCCCAAATGAGGAGCAAAAGAGGGTTAAACTCACCACAGAGAGAGAGACGAGTGCTGTTCTTCCTTCACCATTTCCTGAGGCTGTCTGACGAGATCCTCCTCTGCAAGAGAAGTTGTGGTAAAGCAGGATATAATGTAGTCTCCACCCTACAGAGTTTAAGCATTTCATAACCCAGACACAAGAGAGGGGTTTAGATTATGTAAGTGAGCAGACAGACACTTCTCAATGTCATATACTGTACAATGGGGTTCAAAAGTCTGAGGACAATAGTAAAAATCGTTTTTGTGTTTTTTTTAACCTGAAAACAAACCAAAGTTTGACCAAATTAGAATGTTGTACAAGCTGTTGTACTCAATCTACATGCTTCCTGTCCTCTGATTGATAGTTTACACTTTTTAGCAAGTAAAATGCCTTTTAGTATAATTCTAAAAATGTCCACCTTTAGGTCATGGTACATGTGTCTTTTTGCTCTGAAATACTAAAAAATGTGTATCAAGTAAACATAATGAAATTTATATTGTGAAAAATATTTCAATAGAACACTGGAAACATGGCAAAATTCATTAAACATGACACATCAGGCTTTTGAGGAACATTTGTTTGTTCATCTCTCAATCATTGTATTGCATTGCATTATATGCTTTTCTCCCACAATAAAAACTACAGCTTTGATCATAAAACTAAGCATTTAAATTTTTCATCTTACTAAGACATACTGTATTATTGCGAGACATGGAGTGACAACTGATATACATATGCATTTTATGTGAGTAGTCTGTTATAGGGCTGTCAAAAAATAATTCGAATTTCGAATATTCGTCGAATTTAAAATAAAAATCCACATTCGAATGCAAAAACGTTGCAGAAGATTTATAAACATTTTAAACATTATGCACTTTTTTCACAGATAGTCATGTTATCTTATATGCTTTGAATAAACGTGCATTGGTCGATGCGCCCTCTTGTGGCCTCAGGAGAGAAGCTAAAAGCTTTTCTTCACCCTAACTGAAATTATGCATTTTAAATTCAAATATAATTCGAATTTTGATAATATTTAAGTACAAAATTCGAATTTAGTTTTTCAGCCATTTTGACAGCCCTAGTCTGTTATAATGTTATAAAGATCTCATTGATTTACATTACAAGACTTTCATCTTACTTTTATCTTTAATTTCATTTTACTATTTGGCTTACTTTTATATAAATGCCAGCAACTGCATTAAATTGCATATTTTTGCTCATTTTGGGCCTCTGAATAAAACTGAAGTGTTTTGTTCCTCCTTATGTATGAGCTCATATTCTCCTATATCGTACTATTCTCCTATATCGTACTATTCTCCTATATCGTACTATTATGTATCAAATATGATACTCAACAGAACACATATACATTAAATGAATGAATGAATGGATAAAAATGACAAAGAAACTCCATGTGAAAAGTATCACATTTGTAGTTGAACTCAATGACATAAACACCTCTTAAATTGCTTAGCTTTTCACCGCAACACAGTCTGTTTTCCAGGGAACAACACATCTTGAAATATGCAACATCTTTTTTATTACATATCATTGTCTTAAGGCTGTGTCTCTTCTCTGTTCCCCTTTGACTTCATCATTATCTTTGACCTATTTTTCACCAGCTGACACTTGATCCAGGTGACCTGACAGATCCAGGGTGCCGTGACACCCAATTAATCCTGCTATGTAACACCCTGATCGCCCCACGCCACCAGCGGCCCACATTCGATTATGATCTGGCACAATCTGTTCTCTTTACATTTAACACCTGCTTCTACTCAAGCCAGTAATTTGCATTGTGAAACATGAAGCTTACAGACAAGTATAGAAGGACACTGATAATGTGACAAGTCTGTGACAGATGGATTATGGAAACTGAATGCCTTACAACAGTAATAAGAAGCACTGGAGTCTGACCTTGAAGAATGCTCTACATTTACACATCATGCACCTCAATGACATTTCTGTCAGGAACTTATGGCCTTATGAAATCCATTTTATTTTGTTTCCAAATTCCTTTTTTTACATTTGATTGATTTTTCTTTTAATGGTTTTGATTGTCAAATTAAACTTTATTAATCAAAAAGCATGTATAATTAATTAAAATCAAGAAACGGACCATTTTTATCAGCACTTTATTTAAAAAAGCAAAATAAATAAATAAATAAAAAAGCAATTTATGAACAAAATATATTTTTTTAAGACCCTATGAAATATGTTATTTTCTTTCAAATTCAGCTTTATTTTCACCAAATTCTGTTTTCCATTAATTTTCTGGATTCCATTTGAATGGTTTCATTACATTTAAATAATCAAAAGCATCTCTAACTGATTTTTTTTTAAGTATTACTTATTATTACGTATTAAAGAATTTCTTAATATCCAAATTCTGTTTTCCATTAATTTTCTGGATTCCATTTGAATGGTTTCATTACATTTAAATAATCAAAAGCATCTCTAACTGATTTTTTTTTAAGTATTACTTATTATTACGTATTAAAGAATTTCTTAATATGAAATTAGAATGGTATGACAATTAGAGATTAGACTGTACAGAAATTGAAATCTACACGCTAATACACACTATAGGCAATGCTGATGTTGTTAACATTAATAATTTGAGAATAAAGTATAACAATAATAATAATTAGCATGGTTTGATGTAATATGAGCTAACCGATCTTTAGATTAAATTACCATTAGTAGCACGATTTATAGATGGCGACAAAGAGGCAAAACTTACGGACTGCAGCTTTAACAGCTTTTAAAAAACAGTTATAACAGTGCTCTGAAAAACAAATAAATCAAATGATCCAAATCAACCACAAGGTCATATCAAGACGATGTAGGCTACATGAAACCTGTAAATATCAGGTCGTAAAACAAAGAACTGAGCATTTTTCAGTTTTTCTTTTTTAATAAATTTGCAAAAATGTCAACAATTCTGTGTTTTTCTGTCAATATGGGGTGCTGTGTGTACATTAATGAGGAAAAAAAATTAACTTAAATGATTTTAGCAAATGGCTGCAATATAACAAAGAGTGAAAAATTTAAGGGGGTCTGAATACTTTCCGTACCCACTGTACATCTTCAATTCATGATATGCACAATGTGCTCTATTTCAGCTCATATGATGCCATGCAACAGCTTTGCATGAGACACAAACTGACATTTAATTCATTAATCATTCAAAAATCATTCAGTGACTTGAGGGTGAGTAAGTAATGACAGATTTGTATTGTTGGATAAAGTATGCCTTTAATAAATTTGGTGGCGACATTAATTCCACACACTGTTTCCAAATATCCTAGAGCACATACCTCAGAAAACAGCTGTCTCCTCACAGCGCTGGCTTCTGCGGAAATACACAAAACAGGCACTGGACCTGAGAGAGAGCACAGGTCATAGACAGATGCAGGGGCAGGGAAAACAAAATGAAAGAGCGTATGAACATTAGGAAAGCAGCGTTGCTCCACAAACTGCTGTGCTGTTTGTATGAGGAATAGTATAAGCTGTTTGTGACTGCAGGGACACCAGATGGGTTCTGTGCACAGTTAGCAGAGGATCATGGGAGGACAGAAACTCTGAATCCTGCTGGACGCACTGCAAGCTGCTTAACCGTACCATCGCCACCAAGAGCAACAGATGCAGTGAGCTCACCTGCACAGCGTGAAGCCCGTCAGACAGGCGTCACAGCACTGCCTTGCAAATAACCAGGTGTCTCACAGCATGAGAGGGATGCTTACTGAAGCTGAATAAGATCAGTTAAGATGAGGGGGAAGACTTTTCGCTGTCTTTCTATCTTTACCCTGATCTTTCTCACAGAGCTATTCAAAATTTGAGTAGTCGTGTACAGTAACAGTACAACAGGAAGTCTCAGCAGTGAATAGCTCTGTGAGAAAGATCAGGGTAAAGATAGAAAGACATTTGATGAATGTCTAAATGATTAGACACAACTGAACTGATGTTTCCCATGATCTTTAAATCTTAAAATTAATACATTTGTAATTCTTAAAATCATTGCACTTTTTGGCTTAAAGGTCCCCTGTAATGCTTAGAAACACGCAGCGTTACTCTATATGTTGACGTCATTTTAACTGAAACAGGAAGACAGGGCGGGACATATCAAGCAGCCCCGCCCCTTTTTAAAATAGCCAATAGCGTTCGTTTATATCACAGCTTGGGCTATCAATGGAAAGCATATTTACACTGTTTGACTCGTTCCCTGTCCCCTATATAGTGCACTACGTGCCATTCACTGTACAGAAAATACTAATTCTGTGGACAAGTGACCGATTTCAGCCGCGGCTTCAGCGTCTATTTTATAGTGTAGGGGGCTTCTAGAGAGCATTTGATTGGACAGAAAGTTTGATGAGAAGCTGAAGTACGATGTGACGTCAAAAAAATCGTTGAGCCGTTTTGGAGGAAGTGACGAACTGCAAGCTTTGAATGCTTATATCTTCTAAATGCGAATTTTGTCACTGTTTTGGAGCACACTGCCTTATAGATAACCTTAAGACTAACATATTGATACTAACACCCAAAAAACTTAAATTTTGATTTCATGGGGACTTTATTTATTTAAACAAAAATTTTATTTTTTTTACTCAGCAAGGATGCATTAAATAAAAGAAACAGAAAACTATATTATTATATAATATAACTACAATATTCTATTTCAAATAATTACTTTTATTTTCATTTTATTCATCAAAGAATAAAAAATTAAGCAGCACAACTGTTTTCAGTGATAATAATAATAAATGTTTCTCGAGCAGCAAATCAGCAACTCAAATTATTTCTATTAATGATGTTGAAAATTCAGCTTTGGAATAAATAATATTTTAAAATATATAGAAATCGAAACAGTTACTTTGAACTGTTATAATATTTCAGATTATTACAGTTTTATATATATTTTTAATCAAACAAATGCAGCCTTGACGATCATAAGAGACTTCTTTCAGAAACATTTAAAAATCTTACTGACCCCAAACTTTTGAACAGTAGTGTAACAAATTGTGTTTTTTCATACTTTTCAACAATTTTGCTATTTTCTAGAATGTTAGACATTTTAATAACAAAGAAGAAAATAGTACATCTGTAATGTTATAGGGTCTGATAAGTAGATAAAATTGTAACATTCTGGCTCAAGTTTGACACAGAAGGTTTTCAGGCAATTTGACAACAAAATATAGCATGAAAGTATGGTACCACAGGGTTTTGGACATGAAAGTATCTGTGAGTACCATGTAAAAACCATAAAGCAGCTTTGTTTTAAACTTCTTCATGTCTCCCTAAACTTGATTACCAACAAAAATATCATGTCCTTTCTGGAAAACACGTTTCTTATGTTTTTGTTTTTGTTTTCCCCCCAGTTAGTTCCTTGTTACACAATAGCATACAGTAATAAAAGCATAATAAAATAGTCATACACAACACAAACACACCCAGGTGTAAAAGTAAACACCTTAAGTGCACACAAAATCACACTCTCAATGTAAGTTTTGTTGACACGGTGAATGGGAGGATCGTGTACTAAATATAGTGTACAGAAATAAACAAAAAGTCCTTCAAATCAAACAAATGTTAAGGCCCAAAACTGTGTGGTTACTAAAACACTGTAGAGCTTGGCCAAAATGCATCATGATTGTCTTAAAAATAATCCCAGTGCCCATGATGTCCAAAAATTGCAGTGTGCACCTATGATGCTCCACAATGCTGTGCACACCTATAATGTCCACACAGTCTGATGCCTCACAATCATAGCCAATTTTTCCACGTGCCAATGATGTACAAAAATACTGCATGCTTTTATTAAACCCTCAACAATGTTGAACGCACCTGTAACGCTTAAAATCTTGAAATCACATGAATCGCTGCCCAAGCTCAAAGATACAGAATACACCTACAGTACGATGCCTAAAGATGCTGGATGCGCATATGACCCCAAAAACAACTGCCTAACATCTTGACTGTGCTGCCCAGTGATCCCCAAATATACTACACACACAAGTGAGGCTCTATGAATAGTGTTGGGATTCATCTTTCAACAAAATGAAGTCTGTAGCTTACGGCGATTGCAATTTTTCATGTGCCAATGATGTCCAAAAATACCGCATGTGTTTATGAATCACTAAAAAATTGCACATGCCCCATTGCAAGCTCAAAAATGTTAAACGCACCTGAGAATTCAATGATTCTCTATTGATTTTGCTTTATATATTTTACATCGGACATTAAGAAGCGACCTAACTCAGTTCCAAAATCCCCAAAACTGCACATGGCTATGAAGCTCAAAAATGCTGAGTGTAATACCTAAAAATGCTACTTACCTGGTAGAAACTACCTGAAAATCATTGTTCCTGTCTGTGATGCCCAGGTAAAAAAAAATGCAGCTATGATGCCCAAAACAATACTTGATGCGTAATGATGAAAAATGATGCTGAAAGCGCGAATAATGCTATAAAATGTCCCTAGGTAGCCACATTATTGTTGGATTCGAGATACAGCTTCGGTGTTTACTTTAGGAAAAGGTCACGAGAGCTTACAGTGTCCTGCCGCACCGCTTCACGCAGCACAACTGAAGCACGTGCATCGTTATGTGTTTACTTGTAAAGATGCGCTAAAGTTTTTATTTAAACCATTATATTTTGATCAGAAATATAACACAGTCACTGCAATCAGCGTTATGACTCAGATTCAGAACAAACACATTAACCTCTCCGAGACATATGACCTCATATAACCAAACATGGATTTAAAAGTGCGATTGTCAAGCAAATTTGATGTTTTTTTTTTGTAGTGCTAATATTGTAAGCACTGTGACAGAAATGTTGTATTTTAAAAATGTGGAAAATTATATCATAAATTATATAAAATTATATTAGATCTTTAAAAACTTAAATGTATATCGCGATGACTAGCGAATTAATTAACAAGACGTAAAGTCGTATTTACATATAAACAGCAGACAGCACAGTTCAGCGTGTTTATAAATCAAACATGTCTTACTTACATGAAGAAGGCAGAAAAGCGCATGTATGATCAGGCGAATATGGACGGCGCTAGGCAGTATCAGTATACATTCTCTATGACCTACTTTACTCTCGCTCTAATAAGTAGAGGACCACTTATATACTTATTGAACCAATGGTATTGAAGTGTAGACTAAGCGATGACTCCTTTGTCCAACCAGAAAGCGCTTGACATATCTAAGAGCCAATAGGAAAACACGGGGAATAAGCGTAGCCAATAGAAATTGCCAAAATATTGCAGCTTTATAACAACAGTAAACAAAGGGCTAGTGATGGATTCCGAAACAACGCTACGTCGTTTGTTTAAGTGTTTGTGTGTCAGGCTAATTATTAGTAATGTTAAACAAACACTAAGGGCACGTTAAATTTAGATTTAGGAGATTATGTGGGTATACTACTGCCCTACTACTGCCCTCATTTAATACGTATGTGAACATTGACTTGAATAATGAAACTCTGGAACTAACTTTTTATATCTAATATTATGTAGGCATTTTTTTTCTTCCTATTATATATAATCAAAATCGTATTTATTTATTTATTTGAAAAAACGTACTGATGAAATGTGCATATTTTGGCTAGAAATAAATGAATAATATTTGTAAATAAATAATAACATATTTTGTATTAATTCTATAGATTAGATTTGTGTGAACGTAATATACGTATCATTAAAAAGACGTTTGTGCTCTTCTGCGGCATCATAATTCCCTTTATTAAAATAATGCTCAGTTACTACTACTACTACTACTAAACATAATAATAATAATAATAATAATAATAAATCTATAATTCTACAATAATGTAAACAGTTCAAGTACATGTAAATGTCACTGAAAAATATGCAATTTACTAACTTATTATTGGCAGGTGAGAAGTAATGGTTATTATGTCTAATGACTTTTTTTTATGTTGGATAGGCTATATGAGTAATTATCTTTTTATTATAATGTTATATTGTTGCACATAACGCTCGTTTTACAGCAGCACAAACAATCACTTACACGTATTAACCACTGGAGGGCGTTAAAACATAACAATGGCAGTTTGGTGCCACTATGGAGCCACCGTAAAGGCCACCACCACTGTGAGGACACTGGGGATTCAGTTTGTAGTAATTCGGTGGGGAAAGGCAAAGAAAACTATCTTTTAAAATACGGTCATTTTGTAAGTAAGTAATTATTGGTTTTGATTTTGTCCTGGTAGGGCTGAGATGGTGGCTGTTATACAAGCTATGACTGTTAGCAGGAACAAAGCTTCTCAACAAGCGTTCATTAAATTGACTTTCAGTCGGATTAGTGTCATCTTATTTACACAGTGTTACCGTACAGTATGTCAGACACTGTGACACATACAAACATGTGTTCATGATTAACTACTGAGGAAACTCAGGGTTGGCAGCAAAGACAGTGTAAACGCATCTAATTAATTAAAGCATAAGAAAATGACCTGATTCCTCCATTCTATAGGCTACTTTAATAAATATTATAGTAGGATAAATGCCAAGATGCTTAATTGCAGATGGGCTTTGTTCACCTTCATGACCCTAAAGGATGGAAAAAGCTCGTGGGACATTTCAAATGTGTTTAGGGGGCAGACTGAGCCATTAGGATGGCTGACTCCTCTTGGGATTTCTGTATTCCCAGTGGGCATTCAGTATATAAGGCTGTTGCCCACAGGGGTCAGTTGCATAAAATGCTTAAACTAGTCTTACAAGTCGCAGCTACATTTTTAAGCCAGTTACAAAAAAATGTAAATTGGTATATTATTTCGAATGCTTAAAGACTTATTAATCCTTGGCTAGCTGGTCTTAGTTTTTTAAGTCTAGTCTTAATTGTAAAGCCTGACATGAAATAGTTTCTGGCTGACTCCTCTTGGGATTTCTGTATTCCCAGTGGGCATTCAGTATATAAGGCTGTTGCCCACAGGGGTCAGTTGCATAAAATGCTTAAACTAGTCTTACAAGTCGCAGCTACATTTTTAAGCCAGTTACAAAAAAATGTAAATTGGTATATTATTTCGAATGCTTAAAGACTTATTAATCCTTGGCTAGCTGGTCAGAGTTTTTTAAGACATAGGTCTAGTCTTAATTGTAAAGCCTGACATGAAATAGTTTCTTTCTTTCTTTCTTTCTTGCTTTCTTTCTTTCTTTTAAAGGGGTCATATGATGCTGCTAAAAAGAACATTATTTTGTGTATTTGCACCAAGAGCTTGTAACACTCCAAAGAGAAAGGAAAAATTGAAATCGCATCATATGACCCCTTTAATGGAACAGCAAAATATGCAGTTGCTGTCGCTGGTATTTTGTAAGGTGAATCAATGAGAACAGTATAATAGACTATACGTAAAATGCATATAGGCTACTTTAGTTCTCACACTTTAGTTTGGGGACAATTTCTCACTATTAACCAACTATCAACTACTGATTTTGCCTCGGTGAACTCCTAATCAGTGTTGGGGGTAACTCATTACAAGTAACGCGAGTTACGTAATTTATATTTGCCAAAAATAGAACTTTTTTATTTTAAAAACAAACAAGCAAGCCCTGTCCAGATTTAAAAAGTAACGCAAAAGTAACGTAACGCATTACTTTCCATAAAAAGTAACTAAGTAACGTAATTAGTTACTTTTTTATGGAGTAATGCAATATTGTAATGCGTTACTTTTAAAAGTAACTTTCCCCAACACTGCTCCTAATTACTGCTTATTAATAGTTAGCAAGGTAGTTGTTAGGTTTAGGTGTGGGGTGGAATTAAAATAGGGTCATGCAGAATACGGCATTAATATACTACAAACAGCCAATATGATAGTAATACGCATGCTAATAAGCAACTAGTTAATAGTGAGAATTGGTCCCCAAACTAAAGTGTTTCAATGCATGTAAATATCAGATAGCATCTCCCCATTATATGTCTCAGAAAGATGGTATTTCAATGCTTAGTTTTATGATCGAGCTCTTTTGAAATATTACTAACAATATAAGAGTTATGCTTACGACGGTAACGATGTTACACATGCAAGACACATGAACCACAACCTAGAATGACACTAAAAGGCATTTTACTTGCAAAAGCATAAACTATCAATCAGGAGACAGAAGGTTGCGAACAACAGCTTTTCAGAATTGTTCATAATTCAGGGTCCTTACAAATGTGTGCATCACATATGATACAGTAGGCTTTGTAGGGTTAATATGGTGTGTTGCAACTGGCCCCTGGCATGAGAGATTCATGTAATGAATTACAAGACTCTGGGCACCACATTCTGGTGCTTTGAGATCATTCATCTGCTTTAAATAAAGAAGCATCTATGCACACTGCTATGCTGACTTAAAATAAATGTTTGAATAAAGTGTTACAGACATGTTTGAGGTAATTTGCACAAAGCAAACAGATTACTTACAAGTTTAAGTTAAGGTTCAGAACAGAGAAAAACAAAACCGACATATTGTATCAGCTGCAACCTGTACAAAGCATTTCGCAAAACCCGTCACAAACGAAAATGTTGCACTGCTTTAATTGACAAAGTCACGGCTGAAGGAAAACGATTGAAATGGCTCTCTTGTTTCAGTCACTTTCTGGCCGTTCTGTGTGGTGTTGTTTGCTTGGCACGGCGTGTGATGGGTTGGTGACAGCTCCTTTTCAAGAGACAGAAAAGAAAAGTGATTGGTGAGCAAACATGGCCTTTCTTGCCAGGCATGAAGTCGGTATAAAGAGAGGGAGGAAATCCACTCACATAGCTGTGTCTGAATGAACACTTTTCCCTGTGTGACATGACAAACGCGTGAAGTTCAAATGGTTCACACATCCCATGCGAACAGTAAAATGCAGAGAGTTACTAAACTGCAGTAAAACAACGCAATTGTTGGCTAATAAGTCAAGGTTTCTTGTGTAAATGCTTCTCTTGTATGTTCTTCAGTATAAAGTCAAAGGCCACTGCTGACAGTACTTTCATGCAGACAAACAAACATGCAGGCAAGTGGATGAGGAATGAGCCAGAAGTATGTACTCTGGATGGCAAACATCCCAGCCTTGTTGAGTTTAAGCTTTTCTCCGAGAAAACCATCCTGATATGACTCATTCTGTGAGTGAAACTGTATGGCTGAGCAAATACGTCCAAAAAGCTATAAATGTCAGAATCCAGCATGAACATTTCCAAACGATTTGAATGATACAGTTTGATTGAGATTTTTCATCAAGCTTAATATAGCTATTTGTGGTCACACTTTATTTTAAGGTCCTTTATTTTACAAACCATTAACTATGACTTTTGCCTCAATAAACTTAATTTGCTGCTTATTAATAGTTAGATAGTTGTTAAGTTTAGGTGTTGCGTAGGATTAGGGATGTACAATATGGTCTACAGATAATAATAATAATAATAATAATAATAATAATAATAATAATAATAATAATAATAATAATAATAATAATCAACACACTGTAACTACAAGCAGTATAGCTTTACAAATGTTTTGCATTTAAAAACATCTAGACGTGAATGGAATATCCAAGTCTTGAGATACATTGGTCCTAGAGGGCCAACATCCTGCAGAGTTTAGCTCCATCTTGTCCTAATATACCTGTCTGAAAGATTCTAGTAATCCTGAAGACCTTGATTACCTTAGTTCATAATTGTTTATTTGGGGTTGGAGCTAAACTCTGCGGTACAGTGGCCTTCCAGGAACAGAATTGTACACTCCTGCCCTAAAGGGGCCATGGTAATGGTAAAATAAATTCCGAGAAAACCATCCTGATATGACTCATTCTGTGAGTGAAACTGTATGGCTGAGCAAATACGTCCAAAAAGCTATAAATGTCAGAATCCAGCATGAACATTTCCAAACGATTTGAATGATACAGTTTGATTGAGATTTTTCATCAAGCTTAATATAGCTATTTGTGGTCACACTTTATTTTAAGGTCCTTTATTTTACAAACCATTAACTATGACTTTTGCCTCAATAAACTTAATTTGCTGCTTATTAATAGTTAGATAGTTGTTAAGTTTAGGTGTTGCGTAGGATTAGGGATGTACAATATGGTCTACAGAATATGTGCTTTATAAT